TTTATAGCTTTGATCCGGTCAAGTTTTTGTTGGTTCGTTAGACAACATAAAATGAAACTTAGTTGGAATAAAACAAGGGCAGTCATTTTGAGCACTATCAAAGTGATTTTTTCCACATCTGACGTTTTCTACTATTATTTGAACAACTATATTTTGCACAAGAATTGCTTCCCTTTTTTTATAACTACTGACACTACCCATAATAAAATGAATCAGAAAATGAAAGAAATGCAAATTTAAACAAAAAGTCGATAATGTTTTGATTAATGCACGTCTTTTATTTTTCACGATCGTAATGGCGGGTCGGTCACGTGAGCGGTTAATGGATGCGCCCATTTTTTCTATGCTAGTTATAGATAAAAAAACTCGTCTATTGATAGGGAACACTTATTTGAATGCTAGCAAGGAAAGATGCTGTCTTTCTTCGATAGGTCAATCTATGTAAAGCTACAGTCTCGCGGGACATATTGGCTAAACAGAGTCAAATTCAAACTGTTTGAATGTTTATTCAAAGTGTGGGACACTCTCTATATATAAACATTGAAGAAAGTTTGAAATCACTAGACCATGATTTTTTTACTGTTCTGGAATATCAGTGTTACAGATGACAACGGATATGTTTCAATTCGTAGCCACCATTTCATTCTCGGTTGTGACATCCCCAAACCCTCCTTACCAACATTTGTTTTTTACTTTTTATAAAACAAAATGACGTATGCCACTAGTGAAGTAGGAACTGCTTATCCTTCCGGGGTACCTGAGGTTCATCAGGATTTTGATTGGGTTTGTGTAACTCTATCGTAAGTTTCTTAAGTTAGTTATCTTTTCATCGTTTTTCTTGTGGCCATGGTGTTGTCTTTATCATTGTTTCTTGTCATCGTCTTTCCCTTAAATGTAGGAGAATTTAAATATCCAAAATGGGTTTTCTCAATACAGATAGTCTCCGACAATTGACTTATTTTCAACAAAATCTGCAAAAGTTATTCAATTTAGTACACAGAGTGATGTGCACATCCTGAATGTTAATATAGTCATACCAGAATGTTTGGAGGCTATTGTTTCAAAATTTGTAGGACTTGATTGCAAAAAAAACACGTATTCTTTTTCGTCGATTCCATTCCCTGTCCAACATTTACCAAGCTTAAAGCAAGATTGATTTGCACTCCTTGTACAAAATATGAGTTAGTTTTATGTAGTATTATTATGATATTTTGTTTGCATTGCTGAAAATCAAAAATCACAAAGTGTAATAATGAATATTTTTTGAACATATTTGTTACAGGATTACCAAAACATACAATTTATTGAACGTTTATTTGCTTATCTCGAACGAGTTGCTTTTCTACTTTGTGTTTTTGAAACGTTTATTAAGTTATTTCAGATGAGTTGCTTTTCTTCTCTGTCTTTTTTGAACATCTACCAATTCTTCCAAGTTGTTTTCTAAATATTTCTCTAATCCGTTGACTTATGACCAAAAACGTAAAAAAATTGATCGAACATCCAATTTGTGAACTATGTTGGCGAAGATATACCACCAAATTTCCGAATTGGCAAAATCCCCGCTGTATGCATACTTGATGAAGAAAAGAAGGTTTAACAGTTCTGATGCAATAAAAACAATGCATATGATAACAACTGTAGTAGCTGATTTGAGGTATTTCGCTTTCGGTGACGACGAATCGCTCCAACACTTAATATACCTGGAGTTGACAATCAAGTTAACTCGATCTGTGACAGACCAGACCCAAGTATTCCTTTTTAGGACTGGTTCAACTCTGTATCCTTTTGTCCGGTCCTAAGGTAAGATTTGATCATGACCAAACATATAGACAGGTCTGCTTTTGACCGGTCCTATATAAAGGTCTGCCTATGACAGAAAGCCCGTTTATCATTTACCATTGTAAATAACTTTGTTTTTAAATACTTTTAAAAAGGCATATTTTGTTGAGAACTGGTTTTGAAGTTAGATCCATCCCGAGATAACTTCAGTAGACGACCTTCACAGATATTTGTGATTTTTTTATGTTTTGTTTTGTATAACATCTTAAAAAAAATAATTATAATTTCACTCTTTACAAGAACGTTTTCAGTGCGAATTTATAATCCACCTTTTCGGTCACATGTCAAGCATCGAATAGTTAATCTATGTTTAACTGCTAATTATTGATTAATTCAGGGATTTCGTTACAAAAACTACGCAAATCATTTACTAACGTCTGTCATAGATACTAAAACTTTGGTAGGAAGTTAGGATGTAATTGTTTGAACCTTATTATATATTGGGTCCTACATCCTGCCGATACTGACAATTATGCATTGCACAAGGTCCTGACTTATCTCGCTTTGTGTATGATGTCATTACACTAAACGCGTTAGGTGTGAACTGATTAATAGTTAAGACTCGGAAGATATGATTTATTCATTAGTTGTGATTGGCTTTGGACTAGCCTTCTGTCAGTAATTGCGAGTACTCTTAGATCGGTACTTTTTTTCTTTTTTTCTTTTTGTTAATTATTTTTGTGCTTCGTGTCAATCTGTTGAGTGAAACCCTTCCCCATTTTGTATACAGTTTGTTCATATGTTGTGCTGTTGCACCACTGTCCACAGTAAGGTGGCGGGTTGAGTAGTGCTCGCAAACATTTTTACTCTTCCACTTTCTGTATGTTCCTGTCACAAGTAAGGTGTCTGTTATAATGTGAATATCGTTGATTGCTGTCTGTCATATTTGTTTGTTTTTTTTTATTATAAATCAGGTTGTTGTTTTTCTTGTTTGAATTGTTTTACATTAAGTTATGTCGGGGCCTGTAGTTGCTTTCATCCACGTCGTCTGGTGTCTGGTGGATAGTTAGAGTATGTAGTTTCACAATAACCCTAAAGCCCAGTTTTCAATTAACAAAGCATCAGTATGCACATTGAATAACTAATACATTTTTTACTTTAAAACACCCTTACAGTTCTAACAAGACTGAATCGTAAATGACATTTTTCCTAATTAGCATACTGCATAAACTGCCTTAGAGCATATTAATACTGTTGGGTCTCAGTGCTGTTTCATGTTAAATAATCATAATGGTATAAAAATCGATTTCTTCAAATGGCTATAGTAAGTATATAATGTATATGTCGATGAATAGAGCGTAGGACATCAATTTTTTTTTCGTGAAATTCCGGATTCATAGTTATAACCGCTTAACCTTAAATGTCCATTTGCAGTGTGTAAATAAATTAATAATTCTGAAAACTAAAACAAACTCAATGATCAAGACGACACTGTTTTAAAGCTGATTCCTATTGATGCATTTTTGAGAGTTCCGAATTGGTGGTACCTGTGCTTTTTTGAAGATCCAGGAAATGCTACTAGCGTCACTTGTTCCTCAAGCGCATATTTGGTGTGAACATACTTATTTTTAGGCTCGGATGATAATAATCATCTGTACACTCTCATCTTTTCACTATTTGGTGAAAGTAATAATAAGATTGAAAGGAATGATACCGTATATATGTGAAAGCAAAGAGCTCAATTTTTTGGCAATTTTTGATCATACCGACGTGCGATATACGAAAAAGATCGATGAAAGATTCGTAAGGCATATAATATGGCGAAAAATATATTACAGTTAATAGACAAATTAAACAACTCTGAAATTTCAAAATGAGTCAATTCATTTGTTAGGACTTTTAATAGACCGTAATACCTTGATGACGCATTTAGGCAAATTTTATGTGAGATTTAGGCATGGGATATGCAGCTTTTATAACAAACACATACACACATATGTATGATGCAAATTCTCTAAAATTGTAATGAATGAAGTTTTCATTAACCTGTGTTATATTTTGTAAGATAATCATGGCTGATTAAAAAAGTAACGTTGTTTATGATAACGTTACGCAATATTTAAAACAATCGCCGTTTAAAACAGGAGATGTAATAGCGCAAAGAACATAACTGATCTGGGGATAGTAACATAAATATAAGGATATAAACGTTTTCCCTATTCACTTTCACGAGTTTAAACTTCGTTTTAATTTAGCAGTTAATTGTTTTTCTTTCTCTATAATCGGTCTTTGTTGTGTCGTTGTTCCATATGAACATTGTTATATTGGGAGTACCGTGGGAATACAGTACAATCTGAGTGATGTGTTCAGGCACGGATTAGATTTGTGCACCTAACGGATTTTGTCGTGTTGATTGGTTATAGATTTGATGTCTATACAATTTTATTTTCTCATTTAAATGTGGTCCTGTTTGTCCTATTTCATTTCGTGGCAACCACTGGAATTTACAAAAAATAAAATGTTAGAAGCACAAGTTAAGCTGTTTTTTATTTACAAAATATATATCTGTTTTTAAATGTGAATTCGTGTCCTTCTGAACTGAAAATGCGTATACTGTGTTATGTTGGTTAGGTAAAGGGGAATGAGTTTGAACGTAAATTGTACAAATTTAACATTAAAATTAACGCTCGTGTGTATATAGGAAACGAATGCTTTTTTTTTTTTTTTTATTGTGATATAAAATAGTTTGCCAAAGCGCATTTTTGTATACGCTAGTCAGAGCTTCATACAATAAATATGCGTATGCTCAAATCTAAAACAAAACAAAAGCAAGACTTTGTAGATTCTGTGGATATGCGACCTGAAAACCTTTAGTATGTAAAATGATAAAAATACCAGTTTTATGATAGAATAAAATAGGATAAAGAAACCAAGGGTACAAACTCATGTAGTAAAAATGACAACCACATGTTGTCATATCTGGGCACTTGATAGCTGACTATGCGGTATGGTTATTGCTCATTTTAAGGCCGTATGGTGACCTATAGTTGTGTCATTGGCAATCATACATCCTCTCATTATTTTATACATCAACCAGTAAATAGAAAACAACATGTATAATTTCACCAGGATATCTGAAAAGTCATTTGTCCCAAAAAACCCAAAATAACTGCTACTATGGACATTATTTACAAGAAAAAAAAATCAACAAATCCCAAGTATTCATTTTGTTGATTTTCATAATCAATTCATTATAGCTTAATTCTTTAAAAATCAAAGATATAAAATCAATTTTGTGATCATTTTATCAAGAGCTAAAATAAATTAAATAAAGTTAAAGCAAAAGTTTTCTTCCTGGTACTATATATCTGTTCTATTAATCAACCATCCTCAACTAGATAAAGACCAAACAGACATAATACAGCAGCCAATAATCCACATCAAAACTGATCTCCTCTGGAGAGCACCATTTTCAGGTTCCTTCTTTGTTGCATGTGTTTTCGCAGTGATGTTCTCTGTCAAATGAAAGTACGATACTAAAAAAATAAGTTTGAACTAACATGAGCAACTCGACGGGTGCTACATGTGGAGCAGGATCTGCTTATACTTCTGGAGCACTTGAGATCACCGGGAGTTTTGGTGGGGTTCGTGTTGCTCAGTCTTTAGTTTTCTATGTTGTGTTTTGTGTACTATTGTTTTTCTGTAGGTCTTTTTCTTTTTTAGCAATGGCGTTGCCAGTTTATTTTCGACTTATGAGTTTGAATGTCCCTTTGGTATCTGTCACCTCTCTCTAGCAACTACATCATTGTTAAACATTACATTTTTACAGAGGTAAACATCAGATGTGTTATATTTTACATGATCGTAATTGATTAGGGAGAGACAAATCAAAGTAAGAAACAGAAACTACTGAGGGAATAGAATGAACTTCAAAAGTACCGAGACCGGTCCTCAGCTTGTCATACAACACTCTCTCAAAACAAGAGCGCAGTTTGTCTTACAATAACCAGTTAACAAAATAAAATTTAAGAATCATATGCGGTTTAGTTTATTTGCAAAAACATTCTTGATTGGTGATATCTGTGAATTGAATATGTTTCACACGGAAGCAATATAATACGAACTTCGTATACTGCGTATAAAAAAATCAAAAGATCTATTAGAATACATGCAATCAATGTCTTTTTCCTCTTTCAACAGTTTAGACCCATCTATCTACCCTTTATACCAACATTCCCCATTTTAAGTATAAGTGAATTAACTATATATATTTCGACTTGATGTTTGAATGTAATTCAAATGTTTACTACATCATATATTTCCAGAACAAATTTCATATCATATTATTATTACCTGCAGTTGGCGATCTCGTGTTCATTGTCACCATGGTCACAGTGTCTTCCGTAAAGGTTGAAAAGGAAAATGACGCATTTGTGCCTTCACGTTTTCCTTCTTCATCCACTGCAATAAGTAAATAAAAATGAATTATGCAAAATTGAAAGTAACCGTAGTTAATGCTAAAATAGGAGAAACAATTATGGCAGTCAGCAACAAACGGCAACCACTGGAATAGACACATCTGACAGGCATATGGATGGTGTTGCGTGGTTAAACGTGTTTTGGCCTGTCAATACTGCCTTTAACCTGAAATAGTTGTGACACTGCAAAATAGAAGAACAAATCCTAAAAATCTTTTGGAAAGGGTTTGACTCATCAAACCGGTACTAAGTACGATACAACCAACAAATAAAAAAAACCCTACCGGTCGAAGAATGCTTGCAGTTACTGAAAGCTAGACAAAGTTCAAGCCCGAATTTTATCAAATACGTTAACAATATTTTCCCAGACTGTTAACCATGTTTATCCGGTGATTGTACGAGTGATTAATATTTTGTGTGGGTGTGGAGATCACACTATTTACTAAATTGTTTCTGACTGCGTAGTGTTTGTACGTGTGTTTTTACACTATATCCCTGATTGTGTCTGTATGTTGTTTGAGCGTGGTTTAACAACATGATAAGCACGATGCTGCCCATATGGTGTGTATACTTTAGCCACTGTTTACGGCGTTTGACTTTGTTGAGACCGCATGGTCTCCTCGATTGATTCTGTGTAATTTGTGTGACTGTGCATACTAAACTATTTATTTGATGATGTATTTCTGTGTGTGATTCAAGCTGCCTGGGTAACCATTCTCTTTTACTTTATTGCATATACCACTTGTTTTGTATTTCGAACTTGTGTTTGTACATCTGGATACTAGTATTACGCATTTTTTAAATGGTAGCCGTCTTGTGTTCCCACTTGTTGTTACAATGACTCTTTGTATTTCATCCATTTTGTCACCAATGAAATCGGAGCTTCAGAGCGGAGTGAATCAAATGTGGATACCAAAAAAATAACATCTCTCTTCCCTTTATACCAGTATCCCCCATGCTAAACTTCAAGACAGATTGAAATAATTAGTCCAACTTTGTTTCATAAAAAGAATGTCCAACGTTGATACAAATATCTTGTTTAAGGAAGATATAAATCATCTGTAAAAAAATTTACTCTGATTCTAAAAAGGAATTCTTCGAAACTGAAATCATCCAGATGCCTGATTTCTTTTATTGACAACATATTTGTTATGTTTGGAAGACGTTTTTTTTCAAAAGACAATCGGCATCCATTTGGAAACGAAATTGTGCCCCTCTTCTTGTCGACTTGTTCCTTTATTCATATGAGGCAGACTTCATACAGGAGCTTCTTAGAAAGAATAAAAAATAGCAAGCATTATCCTTAAACTTCACATTTCGCTATAAAGATGATGACTTCTCACTCAATAATTCGAAATTTAGTGACTATGTTGTATCCCATTGAACTTGAAATAAAAGAAAGCACAGATAAAGTTTAGTCTGCCTCATACCTTGACTTATATCCAGAAATTTACGGAACGGTTGAGAGATTAACAAAACAGATGATTTCAATTTTCCCATTGTGAACTTTTCATTTCTGTGTTGCAACATTCCAGCAATGCCTGCATATGAAGTATGCTTCCGCAAATTTGCAGATTTAACATTGTTGTGCTGATATTTATATATATATATATATATATATATATATATATACAGTCACCCTGCTTTAACGGTCACCTCGTTTCAGCGGTCACCTGCATCTATAGGTCACTTTCAGACTGTCTTAAACTTTTACTCTATATAATGTAACTCTTTTCATGGGTCTCCTGTCTAACGTGGTCTGCAGTTATTTAATTTTCGCACGAAATCGTCATTTCAACTTTTAACAACGTCATTTTTATGTTTTTAACAACCATATTATAATCATGACGAAAAAACATATGTTAAGTATTGAGGTCAGAATGAGAATGAGAGCCAGTTTAAGATGGTGCAATAAGAGGTGAATTTGTGAATTTCTCGTGTTCCACTTCTTTCAATTTCCATTTAAACCCGCGGCCGTATCATCGACTTATTTCTCCACCAATATTAACTATTTTGAATGTTTTCTTCAAATTTAGAGCGCCGGAATCGCCATTTTAAACTCGTCTTGTCACACGAACGATAACTCTTCAGATTGAAAACACTTAAACAATTTGCCCCAGTCCAGGCCATGTGCGATGTCGGAATTGTTTCGGAACCACTTTTAAAAGGTCACCTCTCTTGAGCGATCACTTTTGATACTTTCTATGAGTGACTGCTTAATACAGGATTGACAATATATCGATTTGTTTTATTGACAACATTTTGGTAACGTTTGGAGGACATATTTTGGAACAAACTATCGGCTTTCCTGTTAAAACCAACTGTGCTCCTCTTTTTGACGACTTGTGCGATGATATATATAAAGCAGACTTCATGTAGGAGCTTCTCATCAAGAATAAAAAAAAACTAGCATTATCCTTTAACTTCACGTTCCGCTATATAGATGATGTCCTTTTATTGAATAATTCAAAGTTTAGTGACTTTGTTGAACGTATATATCCCATCGAACTAGAAATTAAGGATATCACAGATACAGTTAAATCTGCCTCATATCTTGCCTACACCAAGATATCGTTAAAAGAAATTTGATATCCTACATGTATCATGCTTTTCATTAACATATGGTCAAATCGCTGAAAGACCCCCTAAATTATTGAAAACTATCATTCTGCATTGACAATAATATCTTGGTGTAAATTAGATACACCAAATCGGACTAACGCAATCATAGGTGTATATAATACCTACATGTAGAAGAAACAGACAATGACGGTCAGGTGAGAACAAAACTGTACGACAAAAGGGATGATTTCAGCTTCACAATTGGGAATTTCCATTTCTATGTAGTTATATTCCAGCAGCGCCTACATATGGACTATATATCCATGATACGACATTCCAGAGACTTATAACTAAAATTTCTACTTACTTTTAGCAACACGATGGGTGCCATATGTGGAAAAGGATCTGCTTGCCCTTCCTGAACAACTGAGATCACCCCAGGTTAACTTTTTGGGCGGTATTCGTGTTGCTCAGTTTTTTTTTAGTTTTTATGTAGTGTTGACTGTTGTTTGTCTTTTCGTCGTTTTTCGTTTTTTCCATGGGGTTGTCAGTTTCTCTTCGACTTCTGAGTTTTGAATGTCCCTTTTGTAGCTTCCGCCTCTTTTTGTAGGTGAAGATATGTTTGCGCCGATATTAATCGAGTGGTATCTGTTTAATTTGTGTTTTTGAGCATTGTTGCAATAGTCTTTGCTGCATAGTGTCTACTTCCTGTCCTTATGTCGATATTTGTACGCATGGTTACACTGATATCAACTAGACAATGCGTGCCTCTCTGTCTGTTTGTACGCATACTGCACAACAACTGAACAATGAAAATGTGGCCCTTTTTTTAGTACAACTAGATCGGTATCTCTGGTGGACACCTCCCAGAGGATACCATCCACTTAATAGCTTCGGTTCTGGCAATATACAAATAAGACATTTTTGTCTATACATTTCCAGTACACAAATTTACAATTATACTCTCACCTTATCATGCAAAGTCAACTTCAGCCGGATTTAACTGTTCTTTTTAGGACCTTTTAGATATTGTCTCTCAAACGTTACTTTTTTGTATCAGCGTACCTGACGATTTTTCTAGAAATACGTGTCGTGCACACGGGCATAAGTATCATAAGTGGTTTTACTGTCCCACTCTGTACCGCGGCTGGAGGACTAAAAGTACCCGCAGGAAGTATACGCATCCTAACCAGTGCTTTGAAATTTGCATGAATTGAATATCCAGTATAAAATTATATAATTGTACTAAAACTAAGATTGCATCTATTTTTAGGCGAAGATAGCATTATTGATTTTTTTGTGTTATGCTCTGATACGTTTACATTTGTTTGCGTGTTAAAGTTCCCCTTTGTTGTCCTTGTATATTTTTAACTTTACTGTTTATCCATTTTTTATTTTATACTTATGACGTGGATCGGTACTTATACATCCCGCCATTGTGCTATGGTCAATTTTGAGTTCTTGTCTTTCAGTTTTGCTTATGTACTTTGTCTATATGCCATTTTGTGTTTCTTTGTTGGAACAGTTATTTGTTTTTATAGTGATTAAAATAATATTACAATGTTGACTGCTGTACCCCAATTTTTTACATTTTAACCTATTATATCTGTTTGTCTTGCTCACACATTGTTGTCAATATAATGAAATTATATGCGACTGTCATACAAGTGAGAGGCTAAGCTAGCTATAAAACCTGGTTTTATTCACAATTTTCTACATAAGAAAATGCCTGTACCAAGTCAGGAATATGACAGTTGTTTTCCATACGTTAGATGTGTTTGAGCTTTTGATTTTGCCAATTTATAAAGAACTTTCCGTTTTGAATTTCCCTTGGAGTTTGGTATCTTTGTTATTTTACCTTTTTGCCTTTAAATGGATTTTACTTTTAGTATTTCAAAATGCAGTAAAATATTTGCTTTTGCAGAGGAAAAAATACTTTTTAAATATTTCAACTAATCTCACCAAACATGCCAATATCCTCAAAATATTTTTCTTTGACAGTAATATTTAACTTTTTTGATCCTGAGGATTCTATAATGATAATAATTATATTTTTTTACAAACGATTTACTTTGATTAAGATTTCATATTCCTATAACAAATATTATCCCATTACGCCCACAAAATTGCGGACAAAGTTCGCAGCAGCACACCTAAATTCGAATGTAGTAAGGATTACCATAAAGATTAAGTATATGTTATGTTGAATTTACGCTTTTTGTAACGATATCAACAGCAGGAACCATTACACGATAATCAACTTGATGCATACAATTTTTTCGTATATAGAGAGAAAAAGCGTCTCTATAATGCCACATCTCTTTTTTTATATGTATACAATATCAGATGTAGATGTTGTTAAAATATTAACAATGAGTCACAATATAAAGCCATATTGGCAAGTGAGCACAGCGTTCGAACCAAAAAGAATATAATATCGTCGGACAAAGCTTTATAACGCCAACGATATCTCCGTGTCAGACTTGATATCGTCGGTCAAAGCTTTATTACGTCAAGGATATCTCCGTGTGACACTTGATATTGTCAGCCACAGCTTTATTACGTCAATGATATCTCCGTGTCACACTTGATGTCGTCGATCAAAGCTTCACGTCAATGATATCTCCGTGTCAGACTTGATATCGTCAGCCAAATCTTTATAACGTCAATCATGATTCCGTGTCATACTTGATATCGTCGACCAAAGCTTTATAAAGTCAATGATATCTCCGTGTAACACTCGATATCGTCGGCCAAAGCTTTATAACGTCAATGATATCTCCATGTCACACTTGATATCGTCGGCCAAAACTTTATAACGTCAATGAAATCTCCGTGTAAAACTCGATATCGCTGGACAAAGCTTGATAACGTCAATGAAATCTCCTCATCAGACTTCGTTTGTTTTACGTCTTTTACGGCGTCATAAAACCGATATACGTCACTTTTTGAAATGCAGTGCAGAATGATATAGAAAATGGAAATATAATAACGAAAAATATAAGTAAGAGTCACAAAAATAAGGCATTTTACGAGTGAGAGCAGCCAAGGGGCATGCTCAATTTCTTTATATTATAAAAAACTTACCAAATGTTAATCTAATAATCAATTTGTGTTTTCTAGAAGCTAGTCGTGATAACGTCGGGACAAATGATATTGTTCCATGAATACATTATGGCATCGTTAGAGATTCCGGATACAATGTGTTGGTCCGAAAAAATCTCTGAAGACGTTTAAAGGTTATAAAACGGGATTTTCTGAAGAAATGACTTAGACTTAGTGAAACAAATGAAAGCAAACGAGATTTTACATACCAATATAAAAAATAAACGAGATTTAACATACCATTATCAAAAATTAAACGAGATTTAACATACTAATATAAAAAAATAAACGAGATTAAACATACCAAAATCACCTGAGAATTGTTCATCTTTGGTGCTGTTTAACTCTTTTGAACCGGAGTACACTACAAATATAATATTATAGAATATTAGATTTTAAAGTAAAGGGTTATATACCGTGTTTTTACCGATCGTCAAGGAATTACAATAATGTGAACATCAGAGAGGGTATGTGCCTGTCCCAAGTCAAGAGTCTCGCATGTTGTTAAGTGGTTGTCGTTTGTTGCTGTATATCATATTTGTTTTTGTTCGTTGTTTTGTACATAAATCAGGCCATTAGTTTTCTCGTTTGAATTGTATTACATTTGTCATTTCGGGTTTTATTTTTACAGCTGACTATACGGTATGGGTTTTGCTCATTGTTGAGGACTGTGTAGTGACCTTTAGTTGTTAACGTCTTTGTCATTTTGTCTCTAGAGGAGAGTGGTCTTATTGGCGTTCATACCACATCTTCTTATTTTTACACCAATTTCACCCAAGTTTTCTTTTCCCTCAAGGACATTTAAATCTTTTGATTAAGGGTACCCTAAACAGATAATAATACATGATATCAAATATGCAATAAAGTGCTATATACAGAGATTACATATGTCCCTATCCATTTCATTCCATTTACTGCAATCTTTATTGCTAAACATGTTAGACGTTAACGCATTTAAACATACTCATCTTTTGAGTTTTGCCAAGATCCAATACCGAATTTTTTAAATTAAATTCAAATAGCAAAAATGTCAACAACTACACGTGTATATTCCGTTTAAAAACACATTATATTTCTAATAAAAAATCCTTTTTGAACGGTCAATGCAAAGTTGTTGGATAGCAAGGAAGGTTAAGGAAGTGCTATTAAGATTAGTATGCATTGATGACCATTATAACTGTATCAACACATTAGGTTTGGGTTGTTTTTAGTGCCGACCTGATTTCCGTAAATATTAATACTTGAATACGACCTGATGACTAACTATAATACAAAAAGGCAGTAAAATATCGAGATGTTCGATTTGAATTTGAAACAAAGGTTTAAAAAAAAATAACGTGACTGGTGCCGAAAGCACAAACGAAATAAGGCCGCATGTTAACCTTTAAATTTGACTCTATTTGGGCGTAAACATATGATTTGAACTGCTGTGGTCAATGGTTGTAATGACTTATTGCTAAAGCAGAAAAAATACAGTATTACATGAACATAACACAAATTACGAATTTAATTTCGTGCACAGTGATTCTAGAAAGCCCAAGAACGGAATATATTTACCGTTGAAGGTTAATTCAACAAATTAACACGAAAAAATACTCCAAAAACTGGTCAGGTAAATATGTTAATCGGTAAAAAATACAATTTCTCAAAAATACAATGAAACAGCATGCCTGATCACTGAAGACTGTTGAATACACAATCAAAACATCAACGTATCTAATCATAGTAACCTCTCAAACACATATTATGTATACTTAGCTACAAACGCGACTCTGAATGAAAGTCAAAATATCATACACGATGCTGTTCTGACATTCAATATTATCACAGACAGTATTGTAATACGAAATTAGAAGATATGGAATTAAATTTCAGGCACATGTGCGCATTTCGAAAAGAGAGGCGAAAGATAGCAAAGGGACATTCAAACTCTTAAGTCGAAAATAAACTGACAACGCCATGGCTAAAAAAGAAAAAGACCAATAGACAAACAATAGTACACAAAACACAACATAGATAAACTAAAGAATGAGTAACACGAACCCCACCAAAATCTGGGGGTGAAAATTAATTTCTGATCAGGTTGGGCTCGAAACCGAATATAGTAAATCTGAAAGTAGGCGAAGTTGAAGAGCAATAAACCAAAAACAACACCAGTAAGGATACAAAAAACAGCTAAAGAAAAGGATGTACTTAGGCTTAAATATATTTTTCAACTGAAAATTTCAAAAAGAAAATATTACAATGCTAGTACAAAAGCACCGAATTAGTGATACTTGGTGACTCTATGGTAGAAATATTAAGTGACAAGATAACGAATTTAGAATGTGTATCCATTAAATACTTCCCGAACAAAATTCATATCACGCTAGCATTACCTGGCGGCATCGTGTTTATTGTCACAGTGTCTTCTACATTGGGAGAAAACAGTGAAAAAGACTCAAACTTTGTGCCTTTATTTCCTCTTTGTACGACATGAAGGATATGGCGTGGTTAACATGTTTTCGATCGCTCAATCGTGTCCTTAACCTTTAAGGAAGAGGCGAAGGATACCAAGGGGATATGCAACTTATAACTCAAAAACATTCTGACAATACCATGGCAAAAAACGAAACACGATCAAAAAGACAAACAACAATATACAAAAACCAACATAGAAAACTAAACGGAGTTGATCACAGGTGCTCCGGAAGAGTAATCAGATCCTGCTTCACATGTGACACCCGTCGTGATGCTCATGTAATTACAAACCCGGTGATCAGTCTAATTCGGTAGGTGGCATTCGCGGATAAGAGGACGGTATTTTGGTTACGACAATTGGAACATATGCGTCGTCATCTGTGAAACAGATGTTCCATTACGGTCAACCAATCGTGATGGCGTCCGTACAATTTCGAAGGGATGATTTCAATTTCATACTCGGAACTCTTAGTTTAAAAGCTTCCTTGTGAGCAGCAAACCTCTATCAAGCAAATCATGATAAGAAATGCAAACCCCAGAATATCGTATCAACTATAACAGTTGTATAGAAGAATAAATTGTAAATATCAGTTGGAAATTGTTTGACTCACCAAACCATTACTAACCATAATACAATGAGAAACAAACTACCGATCAAAGAGAACACGTAGTTGATGAAAACTAGACAAAGTTCAAACCCCAATTTTAACTAATACATTTACTATGTTTTTTTTCAGACTGATTACCATGTCTGTCTGTTGATTATGTATGGGTGTGGCGGCCATATTATTTACTAATTTTGTTCTGACTGTGTGGTGTTTGTGTTTTTTACTACTTTTGGATCGGTACCGCTGGCGGACATTTCCCCGAGAATACTTTCCGCCAAATAGCCAGTCCTAAGGTTGTTGCAATATTTCTTATAATACTTTTTTTTGTCCTCATATTTCTAGTACACATATTTTATCATTACCACATTCTCATGAATGGTAACCTCAGCCAGATTTGACTGTTCTCGTTTGGCACTTTCAGTTTTTGTCTCTCAAACGTTACTCTTTTTTCCAAACTTGTTGTAATTAGCGTACCTAAAGGAATTGATGATCTGATGTTGTGATGTTTGAATGTAATTCTTATCTTGAATACATCATATGTTTTTTCTATTTAGAATAATTTGTTATCGTACCTGTATTTTGAGATGTCTTGTTCAATTCCACAGTCATTTCAAAAGAAGACGGATTGTTTTCTGTGATTTGATTCTGAACTTCTTCTGAGGAAAAAGAAAATTTATAATAAAAATGTAAAGCTATAAGCATGAAAAAAGTAAAGTTTAACATTTTTTATTTCATGAAGTATGCCAGAATAATTTGAAAGAGGTTCTCATAACTCTTAGATTAATTTAAATTAAATTAAATTATAAATATAAACAAAATACATGTACATGAGGAAGAACAACATATACAGGATATTTTGACATATAATATAAATATAAAAATACTGATTTTTTTGGCATAAAATATAATGACACACACATACATAAAAAAGAAGTATCTAAAAACGAACAAATTGTATAAAGTATAAATGAAACCTTCATAAAATGTGTTAATCACCCTGTGGATAGATGAAACGTAAGTTTTATTCAAAATATACATACTCAAAATATGCTAAAAAGAAAGGGGATAAAAATGCAAAAGTACAACAAAAGTTTAAATCGGAATACGTTTAGGTCGTGATATCAAAATCTTTGAACCGAAGAAAATAGCACGTCGTTCATTGCTGAAGACACATTGGTGTATATGTGTGGTTACATTGCCTTTAATGGACCGTCTTCTTTGAATTGACCGCCTTCAACACGTTGATGTTTATGTCACTTGTACTACGCATGGCTTATTGCAAACGTATATATACATTAAAATTTAATAATTTTTGAATTATTAGCAAACTTAATTCTATAAATATTAATAAGAAGATGTGGTATGAGTGCAAATAAGACATCTCTCCATCCAAGTCACAATGTGTTAAAAGTAAACAATTATAGGTAAAAGTACGGCCTTCGAACATTTTTACATAGTGCACATTTTTTTTTAAATTAGGATAAAACTATTACACATGATAAATTTATTGACTGTAGGTGTAGGTCGAGACAACTGTTTTTGAACGACTGTAGAGAATCGCTCATCACAATGCCCAGATAAAGGCTGTTCCAGATTTTTACCGTACGTACGTTGAAAAATGATTATTGACGTATTTGTTTTCTGCATTTTGTATGAGAGTGCACGTGTGTGCATGTTCCGGGACTATCTGAGCGGTTGCATTGGTCTGTCTTTTTTTGTGATTGCAATGAGTTGATATGATATTTTATAAAACATGACAAGGCATGCGTCTGTTCTTCTGTGTGCAAGGTCTCTTTATTTTAGGTGATTTATCATGTCAATAATACTTGATGTGTTTCTGTGTCGGTTAGTGACAAATCTAGCAGTCTTTCTGTGTACTCTTTCTATTTTGTTTATATCATCAGTAAAGTAAGGGTCCCATACTGAACAGGCATATTATAGTGATGGTCTGACTAAAAATGTAAATGCCAGTTCCTTTACGGAGTTTGGACTTGATTTTAAGATTCCTTCTGAGAAAAGCTAGTGTACTGTTAGCCTTATTACAGATGTTGTTTATGAGATTGTACCATTTTATGTCTGACTGATTTGTCACGCCTAGGTATTTTTCCTTGTCAACATGTAATATGACCGTAGTACAACATTTGTCATTTTGTGTTACATCTTATCATAACTTTCCTTGAAATACAATTTGAACGCGTTTTCTGTTAAACGAGGTAAGCAGACATATTTTATGGTGGTTTAAGGTGTCATATTTGGTGTTGAATAAGGAATTTATGTTAAGGTCATGCGGATGGTACTTGTATCGGTAAAATTTTTATAAAACTGAGAATGGAAATGGGGTATGTGTCAAAGAGACAACAACCCGACCAAAGAGCATGAAACAGCCGAATACCACCAATGGGTCTTCAACACAGCGAGAAAATCCCGCACCTGGAGGCGGGCTTGGGGTTGCCCCTAAACATAAATGTGTACTAGTTCAGTGAAAATGGATGTCATACTAAACTCCAAAACATATAAATTAAAATTAAAAATCATTATAAGCTTTTTAGATATAGCTGTACATGATGCAACACTACTGATATTTTTTTAATCTTGATTGGTTGCTAAGCATTAATAACACGATGATATGCTTGGTTACCAGTTCATTAAAAGTACCCTAAAATGGTTATTAAAAAAAAATAAATAAGAAAAGTCCGTTGATGATCTGTACCGTAATAGAATCATATCGATGTTTCCTTTGAAAGGAAAGAAAACATTTAGAGTAAAACATTCCTTAAATCTGGTGTTGTCTTTTATGTTTTTTTCAAAACTTATCAAGGAAAAAGTATGATTTCTTTGAAGTTAATATAATAATGCAGCTATATGAATGGCAAAGTCAGCTATAAAAATTAACAGTTACTTTTTAGAATGTGAGTTGGTAACATATGGTGTTTGTGCTTTCTTTTTCCTTTAAAAGAGATATTGAACAGTAATAAGCATGGTCGCTTTAAAATATGAGCTTAATTTATTTCAGATTGGTATAACATTTCGTAGAATATTTTCGGCAATGTGTATGACTCAAAATCCCTAATAGACCTGGAGATGAGGATCTCAACTTTATAAATGTGGAAAAGATTAGACCGCCATACACTTATTGTTGATACTTTAATTTAAAAAAATTGATATACTTGAGCTAGAAAAGCTGTGGTATCGAGCTTATGTGATATGAAAATAAATATGTAGATTTGAACTTAAAAAACAAACCGTAGAAATAGTTTTGTTTTTATAAAGTGAACAGATTTATGGAGGAAATGTTCTGAAAGTTACATTATTCATTACTTTTCACTGTTACGGGATTTTACAGGAATGAATTGCAATTGCCCACCTGAAAAAAAAAACATACATGAATAAATGTCTCAGTTTCGGTAAGAGCTACCATACATTTGCAGAGAAACTGATATCATTATCGCCTAACTGAATTTAATTGTCAATATTGACCCTAACATGAAAAGGCAGAATATCTATCAATACTGATAAGTCTGCACGTACCGTTACGGAATGTGCAACCATTATTTGTGGTATATTAAATTCGTTGCAAGCTTACAAACGGGTAAATTATGCTATAGACTTCACCACCAAAATGTGTGTACCTGATGTTTAGATGTAATCCGAATAATCAAAACAAGACCTATTTCATAATAACAGTAACCATTATTTTATCATACCTTTTCCTGACAATGTCATGTTCAAATTTATAGTTTCATTCATTTGTGGAGAAACCAATGAAAAAGAATGTTTTTCTTTGCTTTCATTTCTTCTCATAACCTTCCGTGTCGTCCCTACCAAAAAAATATTTTTGACAAAACACAAACACACACACGAGGTAAGAGGAATGTCGTCTTATATAAAAGGCGAACTGTATATACGATGATTTAACCATCCCGAGTTTATTCAGAATAAACATATTTAAAAAAATGTTTAAGAATGAACATAGATGTTAACTCATCGATGCACTGAAATAGTTATACCGCCATTTTCTGGGCATTGTCTGTTTGATTAAATTTTGTTGTAGCGCCAGTTTACAAGTTGGTGACTTACTGGTACCAACACTCTTTGCTTGGTGGTGACTTACTGGTGTTTAACTGCATGATGTGTATCTCTATGGTGTGTCTATGTGTGGTTCCAACACTCTTTACTTGGTGGTGACTTACTGGTGTTTGACGGCATGATGTGTATCTCTATTCTAACACTCTTTACCTGGTGGTGACTTACTGGTGTTTAACTGCATGATGTATATCTCTATTGTGTGTCTATGCGTGGTTCCAATACCCTTTTCTTGGTGGTAACTTACTGGTGTTTAACTGCACGATGTGTATATCTATAGTGTGTCTATGCGTGGTACCAACACTCTTTAGTTGGTGGTGACTTACTGGTGTTTGACGGCATGATGTGTATCTCCATGGTGTGTCTATGCGTGGTACCAACACTCTTTACTTGTTGGTGACTTACTGGTGTTTGACTGCATGATGTGTATCTCTATGGTGTGTAAATGTGTGGTACCAACACTCTTTACTTGGTGGTGACTTACTGGTGTTTGACTGCATAATGTGTATCTCTATGGTGTGTCTATGCGTGGTACCAACACTCTTTACTTGGTGGTGACTTACTGGTATTTGATTGCATAAAGTGTATCTCTATTGTGTGTCTATGCGTGGTACCAACACTCTTTACTTGATGGTGACTTACTGGTGATTGACGGCATGATGTGTATCTCAATGGTGTGTCTATGCGTGGTTCCAACACTCTTTACTTGGTGGTGACTTACTGGTGTTTGACGGCATGATGTGTATCTCTATTCTAACACTCTTTACCTGGTGGTGACTTACTGGTGTTTAACTGCATGCTGTGTATCTTTATGGTGTGTCTATGCGTGGTACCAACACTCTTTACTTGGTGGTGACTTACTGGTGTTTGACAGCATTATGTGTATCTCTGTGGTGTGTCTATGCGTGGTACCAACACTCTTTTCTTGGTGGTGACTTACTGGTGTTTAACTGCATGATGTGTATCTCTATTGTGTGTCTATGCGTGGTACCAACACTCTTTTCTTGGTGGTGACTTACTGGTGTTTAACTGCGTGATGTGTATCTCTATTGTGTGTCTATGCGTGGTTCCAATACCCTTTTCTTGGTGGTAACTTACTGGTGTTTAACTGCACGATGTGTATCTCTATAGTTTGTCTATGCGTGGTACCAACACTCTTTACTTGGTGGTGACTTACTGGTGTTTCACGGCATGATGTGTATCTCCATGGTGTGTCTATGCGTGGTACCAACACTCTTTACTTGGTGGTGACTTACTGGTGTTTGACTGCATGATGTGTATCTCTATGGTGTGTAAATGTGTGGTACCAACACTCTTTACGTGGTGGTGACTTACTTGTGTTTGACCGCATGATGTGTATCTCTATGGTGTGTCTATAAATAGTACCAACACTATTTACTTGTTGGTGACTGACTGGTGTTTGACTGCATGATGTGTATCTCTATGGTGTGTCTATGCGTGGTACCAACACTCTTTACTTGGTGGTGACTTACTTGTATTTGATTGCATGATGTGTATCTCTATTGTGTGTCTATGCGTGGTACATTTTGTACCAACACTCTTTACTTTATGG